CCATCTAATGTAAGATGCTCAGGGCGCTTGAAATGTGGACTAGGACTGTCTCTTATACACATCTCTATACACACTTTATAATTATTTATATTTTAAATTACCATGTGAAACGGTACCTATCCTCTCCTATACCACAAGCCTTACTAATCACTCCTGTAAAATGCGGTCGAGAGCATGGGCTAGACTCACGGATCTAGCGGAGAACTATAAAATCAACGGAAACTTTCGGTACATGTTCTTCATGCTCTGAACCTAATTAAGTGGTGTTAACTACTACAGCTTAAATCTGTAGTAGTTTTTTTATTTATCTCATTAAGTTTTGTTGATTATTTTTGTTGAGAAAACCTTTATTCTGTTTATATGGAATACCGTACATTCTGAAATAACAGTTGATAGAAATTGAATGATTTAAATTATGTAACAGTGTTGTTTCTCCTCTCTTTAAAGTATTTGCTGTTTAAGTATAAGTCCCAGTAAAGGTATTACCTTATTATTATCGGATATTCCTCAACATTTATGCAAAACTAATGGAAATAAAGTAAGTTATCTTAGATGTTAGCAACCATTTTATGGTGAAGTCTATAGCCATCAATATCATCGTCCCTAGTTTGTGCATTGGTAAAGTTCAGTGCAATGAAATAATTCTATGCAGCACCCCCTTTTTAAAATCCCGAATACGCATGTTCCCCTACCCGGACGACAAACTACGCTAAGCGTTATGGTAGTTTTAACTTTTCCAACTTACCAATGGACTGTTGCAACTGTTGCTGAGTGCTTTCAAGATCGGATTTGACACTCTCCAACAGCGAAGCTTGGTTCTCAAGATAGCTGGCTAATGCAGGTAAACATTGGGGTATCTATTGAAAAGGATGAAAGAACTTTTCGATACTGCGTATAAAGAAACCTAGATGGGTTTTGTTTGCAATTTTGTACAGTGAAATTAAACTCTGCTGAAAACTTTTTACAGCTTGACATAATATTGTAAGAGTTTCCCATGTTAACAAATTTAGCGCTTTTTCGAAAGTATTCGAATTTGAAAATGTACCACCGGTACAAAAGGCAAAGATAAACTTTGAACTACAACCTATAGTAAATTGCAGTGGTTAAATATTTAATTAGCTAATATTGGAGATTTTCATGCCAAAGATGCTAAATTGCCTACAATAAGAAAGAGAAAGTTCGACGCAGAAAATTCAATTATAATTAGGTAAAAAATAACTATTCACCCTAAGAATTGCTGGTATTATAAATCTTAGTTTACTTACTTGGGCTTCAGTTGGATTATCCAATAAGAAGGCCAAAATGGAGAGGATGAAAACGACCCTCATGGTGTCTTTAAACAGGGAGAATTTGACTGAAACGAACTTGACGGACTAAGAACAACAAAATGACGCACCCTAAAGCTTGGTTGCTATTTTATTCAGCATGAGAATGGGTCTTTCCGGAGTGTCAATGAAGCTTAACAACTAACCAATCAGAACAAGCCTAGGAACACGCGAGTGTCTTCCAAACACACGTGTTGTCCAACAAACCCACACAGTTGCGTATGTTTTTACCCTGCCGTTTGTGGGACCTTCAAGGGGTGGGGCTTAGCGGTAAGGTCCATTGCCAATGAAATGGAATTAAGCTCTGAATCGCTGCCCTTTGTCACATGGCGCTTAGTCGCGCATGTAGAAAACCATTCGTTTTTTGTACATTCTTCATTTACATGCAAGTAGATTACAACTTTCAATAATTCAAGAATACGAACATTCAATATTACTTAAAAAAGTGACATTGTTGCATACAAACAAAGTTACTATGGTCTCATAGTATATATATATATATATATATATATATATATATATATATATATGTATATATGTATATATATATATATATATAT